CAAAACAGGCAGACTGACTGAAACACACTGCTGGGGGAAGCAGCAGGCAAGACAGGAGAGGTCTGCTTCACCATGTGGTTGCTCCCTGGCCAGCTGGGGATTGAACTTATGCTGCAGAGGCTGCGGATTGCTTCACAGTGTGGTGCTTAACCCCTTGCACCACCAGGGAGGCCCTACAAAATCAATTTTTTAAAAATCTGATGTGTTCTTATAAGCAAACAGCAAATGAGAAAGAAATCAAGAAAATAATCTCATTTACAACTGCATCAAAAATAATTAAATAGCTAAAAGTAAATGTAACAAAGGAGGTGAAGGACATGTATCAATACAATGAAAACAATAAGACGTTGTTGAAATAGAAGACATAAAGAAATGGAAAGCTGTCTCTGTTCAGAGATTGGAAGAATTAACATTGCTAAAATGGCCATCCTACCCAAACCAATATATGAATTAACGTAATCCATACACAGTTTTAATGGCGTACTTCAAAAAATAGAACAAACATTACTGAAATTTATATGGACAGCCACATGCAAAAGAATAAATAAATCTAAGTCACTATTTCACACTACTCAAAGTGGATTAAAGACTTGGGTGTAAGATCTATAAACATAAAATACATATAAGAAAACATAGTCAACACCCTCTATGACATTGGCTTCAGTGATATCACTGTGGTTTTGAGTCTACTAATAAGGGTAACAAAAGATTATTCTCTCTGGTGGTATAGGGGTTATGTCTCAGTGCTATAGTGCTATCATTGCTATGGACTGAGTTCGATCCTCTGCCAGGGAGCTAACCCACAAATGGCACAGCATACCTCTCCTGTCTCACCCGCTGCTCCCCTTAGCAGTATATTTCAGTAGATCCACCTGTTTTGCTCCCCTCTCTTTCTCCCCTCTCTTTCCTCTCACTCTCCCACCTCTGGCTGACATCAAAGTTCTTCTATGCATAAACAATTTTTTTTCAAAAGAGTAACAAGAAAGAATATAAATTTGGACCATATGAAACTAAAAATCTTCTGCACAACAAAAGAATCTGTGATGAAAACAAAAAGACACTCTGCTGAATGGGAAAAAGTATTTGCACATCACATATCTGACAATGTATTGATATCTAAGTTCAAATATATACTAAATTCAACAAGAAAAGTAATAAGCCATCAAAAAGGACAGTAGAAGTAAAAAGACCCTTCTCCAAAGACAACATAGAGATGGCAAAGTAGTACATGAAGAAATCACATCATCACTTATTGTCAGGAAAATGCAAACCAAAACCACAATGAGATACCACTTCACACCTGTGAGATGAACCATATCAAAAATAATAGAAACAATTGTTGGCAAGTATGTGGAGAAAATGGAACCCTTGCATGATATCGGTGGGAATGTAGAGTTCCAGCCCTTTTGGAAAACAGTATAGAGATTTCTCAAAATATTAAGAGTATATGTATCATACAATACAATAATTTATAGTCAAAGAATGCCAAAACATTAACTCAATGTGCTATGAGCTCCTATTTTCATATTAGCACCATTTACAATAATCAATTTATGGGACAAACTAAGCACTCAAGGACAGTTGAGTGTTTTGGAATGCGGAATATATGCACAGCAAAAAACTGATCATTATGAAAAATGATTAACTCTTGGTATTTGTGCAACATGGATGGAAAAACATGGAATTATATTAAGTGAAATAATTCAGAAATAAAGCAAATATCAGATGTGGCATTATATGTGAAATATAGAAAGACTAAACAAAGGGTCATAGAGAACCAAATCAATAACAAACCCTCAAATCTGACAGTAGAACTAAGAGTATAAGGGTTGAAGGGCAAAGTGGTGGCACCCAGTGGGCTCTGGTGGAAGACTGAGCATTTTGGTGGTAGGTGTGTTGTGGCAACATACATCTGAATCATGTGATCCTATACCTTCAAGTTATATGCAGAGTTGTAAATCAATATAATCTCAATAAAAAAGAATAAAAATAATGATACACACAATGGAATATTTTTCAGTCAGAAGAGGAAATTCTGCATTTTTGTGGCAACTTTTGGAAATGTTATGAGAACATTATGCTGAATGAAATGAATTCAGACAGAGACAGAACACTACTGTATGACCTTCATATATGTGTCCTCTAAAAAAACTGTATTCAGAGAGAGAGCAGAATGGTATTGTGCAGGGTTTGGGGGTGAAGGAAATGGGGAGATGTTGGTCAAAATACACAGACTTCCGCTTATGAGATGAAAAACTTCTGGCATCTAAGGTAGAGCATAGTGACCACAGTTGACAATACTGTATAGACAATAGATCTTAAATGTCCTTACCACACACAAAAAGTGATAATTATGTGAGGTGGCAGAGATGTGAACTCTATATATTATAGTTAACTCTATTGTAAACTCTATTATACACTGTATAGATATACTATATACTATATATACCATATACTAGATGTAATAGTATTACATATATTACATTTTGCAATATATGTGTATCAAGCCATCACTTTGTACATCTTAAACTTATACAATGTTATATCAATTATATTTCATTAAAATTGTGGGGGGAGAAATAGCTGACATTTTGCATCTCTGTTGCTATGATGGGAAAATATTTAGAAAACTGAGATGTAAATTTTAGGTATTTTATAACTTTTAAAAATATTAGAACTTGAGTAGAAACCATTAAATTTGTAGATTTTTATCAAATATTTACATGTGTTATTTATGCTATCATTTTAATGCTGATGCATTTTGTATGAAAGTTGAAGCACAAAAGAAATTTAACATAGAAGAGTGTTTTTACTCTTCTGACATGAAACACATTCATAAGGTTTTGAATCTTTTTAGCCTATGGATGGATTGCCACTGTGCAGAGGCAAAGGGTGAGAAAAGTAAACATGATGGTTTTACTAGACGTGACAAGTCTCTTGCTTTCTTTTAAAGATTTATTTTCATTTATTTATGCATACAAGAACTGGGGTGTAGGCCAGAGGTGGAGGTGGTGAGAGGATTCACCAGAGACAGAGTGGGGACCAGAACAGGCGGATATACTGAAATACACTGCTGAGGGGAGTAGCAGGGAGACAGGAGAGGTCTGCTGCACCCTGTAGTTTAGCTCCCTGGCTGGGGATCAAACTCAGGGCACACTGGCTGGTGATAGCTTGACAGCACAAGACTTAACCCCTGCACCACCAGGGAGATAGGCAAGTCTGTTTTCAAATGAAGTTTTGAGTAAAATGGTTTCCCATATGTCATGTTCTCAGAAGCAGTAAAGACTATGGGAGTGTTTTCCATGTGTTGACAAACTCTCAGCTCTCAAAAATGTTACCAGGCACAGGGTCTAAAAACCAAATGGGCCAAAAGCTCTGTCACTGGTCCTGAGTTCCTTCTCTCTCTCTGACACAGCTATAAACAAAAAGGAGCTTTCCTACAGCCAAACAACAACAAAAAATCAATATATTTGAACAGGATAGAGGGAGAACTATGGGAGCCGGGAGTGTTCAGGTACAGAATGATGGTGAGGTGAAGCTGCATGTGGCTGGCAGGGTCTGAAGCTGGGGGCTGGGCCTGGGGTAGGGAGAAGTCTGACCAAGTTTCGCCACATGAGGGGTTGACAGGGTGCAGCAGAGACCTACTGCTACTGATGTGGGGGATGAGGCCAGCTGTGCCCTACTGAAGGCACATGTCCACTGTCCTTCTAGCCAGTATGGATGAGCCACCCCGGGGCACTTTGAGGTAAGGAGCCTGTAGGGTAAGTGGTTTTCAGGCTTTTCTGCCTTCCTGTCATTAACATTGCATGCCTGATGGTGGGCACCTGTATTTTGTTACATTGTTAATTTCAGTTGTGTTGTTTACTTCTGTGGGCCACGCCTGCAGTATTAAGATATTTGCCAATAGAAGCAGAAGCAAGAGAAAGAAGGGGGGAAAGAACTTCAGAGAGCCCAGAGTCAAGATTTGTGGGGGGGGGCTGGAAGGCCTGCCAGCCTCCTGGTCCCCAGGCACCCCTGCCTGCCATGTACCTGGTTGCTTCATTGCATGTAAAAGTTCAGTAAAAGCCTGAGAAAGCCACCGAGGGCTCCAGGACTCTTTTTTACCCATCCGCTGCGATCATTGAAAACCTGCTGTGTGCCTTCCTGGCAATATAGAGCCTGAAAGCCCACAGGCCCTTCCTTTTAGAAAGACTCCCAAAATGGCTGCACTATTCTGCCCCCTTTCCAGGAGCCCACTGGCTTCCTGAGTCCCATTTGGAATATCAGGCAGCAGAGATGGCTGCTGCGTTGTTAGTCCCCACCTCCTGATGGGAAAAAATGGACAACAGCCATGTTGGCCACATTTGGCTAGCCCTGTTTGGGCCTGGGGGTGTCAAGGATCACTCCAACAAAAACAAGTAACATTTTTCTATTGTGGGGAAAGGAGACATGCAAGTTGAAAGTTTAGAGGACTTTTATCAGGTAATTAACTTAAAATTCACAGTGAAATCTATACAGCACTCTGAGCTGGATCGATGAATGACTATACAGTGCAACGCAACATTCCCTTTTCTATGGAATGTTGCAAACATTTGCTTTTAAATAAGAATCTATTATTTCTTTCTTCTAGCTCTAAAACTACAGAAGAGAAGCAAGAAACCAAATAGCAAGGGATATATCATACATTATCACTCCAACTAAACCCAAACCAGATGCAAAAAAGTTCAAGAATAATAGACTTGAGACAGCAAACTTCAGGGATGATTTAGATGTTTGTGCCCTGTTATCATTTATGTTTTTATTCAGGGATCATTTACACCATAGTTTTCACAACCCCCTGGGAGCAATGTTCTACTTATGGCTGCTCCAAGAGCACAGGAATCCCTTGGCTGAGCTCAAAGACACTGGTAACAATACCTCCTGAATAGACACGTTGCTAGGTTACCGCTTGTTTCCTTGGTCACAGGGAATATATGGTAGACTCCCCCCAACCCGCCCCCCCCCCCTCCAGCGGCTGCAGATTCCTTGTGGCCAGCTCTCATATCCCCTCCTGGGAATGTGGTGAAAAATGTCTTCAGAAAAATAGCTTTGTGAGGACAAGAGAAACTTTCATGCACTGACAAGACATGTCTGAAAGGTAAGAAAATGAAATGTTCAAAGTAACCTTAGTCATTACTTGAAAGAAAAGAAATAAATAAGCATAGATATTGTTACAGGGTTAAATTCCATTTAAAAATATAAAGTCATGCAACCTGTTACTGATTATGAATGCTTGAGAAGCAAGCTCTACCACCATCCTCTCCCTTAATGCTACTGGTTAGAAACAGCTCAATTTCTGTGTTCATTGTAAACAGAGAGAGGTAGACTACCTGTTTTATCAACGTATGTCTACAACTCAGGGCTCTTCAAGAGAACAGGTGTGGATTTCCGGGGGAAAATAGTTAAGATATCCAAAAGAAAATATCTATTAAGTATTAGTGAATATTGTTCACTATCTATTATTTTTGTGTAAATGAAATTGCTATCATGAAACTGGACAAAACTCTGCCAAAAATCTTTATAATCAGTATGCTTATTTGTGAACTAGTGAATCTATAAAATTGTTTTAGAGACAATATAAAAAGTAGAAAGTTAATGTTCAGAATTTGAAGGGGAAGGGAAGGAGTGAAAGTGGAAAGGAAAGAAGACAAAGAAAACAAAAAGGAAGGAAGGCTGGATGGGACGGAGGGAGACAAGAATGAAAGGAAAATTTGAAAAAAATTTCCTTAGTGCAAATATTTACTCAATCACATTTCTCTTGCACATGAAGCAAGAGTCTTATTCATACTATCTTCCTACTATATAATTTCATTTGGGGTTTTATAGTTTTATCTCTATACACAAGATCTGCTTCAAACATTTTCTATAGTGTCTATAATCTTTTTTGCATTGTTTTATGGGGTTGAATTCTCAAGATGTTAACAACACAGGTAATAGCAAAACATTTCTCAAGCTTTGATAACTTTGTCAGTAGCAGCTACATGCTTATAATAAAGTTATAATAATTTCTAAACAACCTTGTAGAAGGAATATAAAGGTATCTTAGTCCTTCCTTGTTTCTAGTATTTGCATATATGTTTTGCTTATATGAATGTCAGACAAACTTTCCTTCTGGAGAAGTATGATAAATGTGTTATTTTACTTCTGTTGTAACTTAATTTGGGGGCCTATTTGTGTTTATAAAATGTGCATGGGGCAAGAATAGGAAAATGCAAAACTTAAAGAATACAAATTGGGTTACATAAAATTAAAGTCCAATCAAACAGAAGTAGAGAACTGACAAATCTAGTTGTATATTTTTCAGAATTGTTATTTATTATATATAATATTAGAACCAGAAATTAAATAATTTCAGATATCGCTATTAAAATTCTAGACATTGGGAACTGAAATGTTATTGGAATATCTGTGAAACACATCATTTTTCGGAACAGTTCATGGTACATTATTATTTACTCAATTTATGGGTTTAGTTCCAGGAACTTAATTTAAAACATCTTCTGAAATTTATTGCATTCAAATTGTAAAACCTGGTGTACATAAATTGTCATTTCAGAAACTAACATTATAAAATCAAATAGCCTCCTGATTTTATGAGATTATATTATCTGCTTACCATCTCTAGCATGTAGCTAGCATTATCATTACCCATTTTATATATGAATAAAATATTGGCATAGAGGACAGGGATTCTGGTTAAAAAATAAATAGAATCATCAAAGAAATAAAAGAGGCTGGATTGATATCTCCTTTCATCTAAATTTAGTGCTCTGATATCCTTGGGTAATTTTCTTCTAGCCTATACCTCAGCAATGCCTGGTTTTAGCAAAATCCCATAAAATTTGAGAACTTAGCTCAATATTTTTTCGGGAGAGAGGAGGTGTTTAAGAAAATAAGAAAAGTGCCCTTTGCTAACTGAAAAATGAGATAGTGGTTTTTTTTCCTTGCCTCTCTAAATACGTAAATCTCATGATGTAGCCTTGAATATAAATGAAATGTTAAGAAATTGAGTCATATGCAATATAATTTCACAGCCTTAGGTGTTAGCAAGGTGCCCTCTGCCCTCCCAGATGATGTGTGCCTAACATTGCTGCTTCCACTCAAGAGCTCAGCGGTTCCTCAGAAAGTAGGCCATCTGCCAAGTTCTCCTTCATCTGCCTTACAAAGTTACATAATCACCAACTTGACATTTTAATTAAACAGATCCACTGGTTGCAGCAGACAATTTAAGAGGTTTATAAATTCATGTTTTTAAAGGACAGTCAATCTTTCGATGAAAGGTGCTCATGAACTGATATTGTCGTTTTATATCCAACATTCTTGGCTCGCCTGATTCCTTCTTGTTGGCCATTCTACACTTTCTAAAACCAAGAATAGATGGCCAATTCAGATAATGCCACCTATTTTAAAGACACTATAAATCACTGCTGACAAATGCTGTACAGTTATAGCTGCAGTACCTTCTCTGGCAGCTTTATAGGAGAACATTAATAAAATTAATCTCCCTTTCATGAGGGTTTAGATTTGTAATTTATGATAACTATTTGCTTACTGCTGGCACAAAGATTAAAAATGAGTAAGGCAATATACCAGCTAAACTACAAGTGTCTGGTTTTGTTTTCATTTGGGGAAAGGGAAGTGGGAGAAGGTTTTGAAAACAACTTTATGTTCCCTGGAATGGTGTTCTCATAGGTTTTACTCTTGAAGGCTTAACTTTTGCCTCTATGGTTTTCATCACTTGTTGCACACTACCTTCAAAGAATAATTCCCACTGAAATACTATCAGAATAGTGTTAAATGAAATTCTTGATCTGAATGAATTCTTCAGTTCATTCTGGAAGTACAGAGATAGATGGCAGGGATTTTAATTGCCTGTTGTGCTAACAATGTTTTAACTACCTTTTGTTATTAATAAATGTCTAATAGTAATTGGGATAATGAGATAGAGAGATTTTCTGGTTTATACCCCTAAAATCATCTAATGTAAATTAAGGTAATGATATAATTTTCTGTTACTTTTTTCACTTGCAGATACTTAATTTCACCATGAAACCATTGTTGTTAGACTTGCAACACTACAGAAAGTATAGTAAAATGCCCATTAACTGCATATTTTTATCAGCTATATTAATTATATGAAAAAGTTTTCCCCTGCGCCCTGCTTTGGAAGGATTATATATAAAGCAAAATAAGACCAATTCCCATACATTGGGTTAAAAAACAAGAGAAAGGAAGACTTCTAAGTTTTTCTTTTGACTCATTTTCTCACTGTATTACCGTTACTACCATTTAGAATCACAAGACACCAGTCACTGAATAAATTTAGCGTATTTTAATAAAAACAAATTACCTAAAACATTGTGTTAAATTTTCATCTTGTTTATTGCCTACTACATTATTACACTTTCTCCCAAATTTTTCTCCCTGATTGTCAAAACTTCATTTATTGTTAGCAGTATTTATCACCTTCAGGAATAGTAAATTTCACACAATCTTCATGATCTTTTTCTAGTCTTTGTTACTTTGTTTCTATGGCAAATAGTTTTAAATAATTTTAAGAATTAATATACAAACTATTAATAAATTGTTCAAGTCCACTTATAAGAGGAATATATTTTCTGGCTTTTGACATATTTAAAGGAAAATTCTTTTTATTTTACTTAGTAGCTGATGGAGGAATAATTTTCACCTTGATAATAGGGCATAGTGTTTTTTTTAATTTTCTTTTTTTTAAAATAATTTATTTATTTATACAAGAACCAGGGCACAGGCCAGATGCGCGGGAGGGTGAGGATTCACCAGAGACAGATTGGGGAACAGAACAGGCAGACTGACAAAATACACTGCTGAAGGGGGCACGACAGGAGAGGACTGCTGCGCTATGTGGGACCCTCGCTGGCCAGCCGGGATCGAACTGGTGCTTCAGAGGCTGCAGACGGCTCCACAGCAGGCGCTCAACCGCCTGCGCCACCAGGGGAGGACATAGTTTTATTTTTCTTTTAAAGGCCTGGTGATGCTATTTTTAGAATGTGATGTAATGGCTGTGTTCTTCCAAGGAGCAATCCTTGAAAGTTAATGAATGAAAAATGAAAGACATTTCTATACGGTACTTCAATATAGAAGAGATATGTAATTTCTTGCAAGCAAAATTGTTGTAGAGACATATCTATGCCATAAAATATAGAATGCTGTCACTTAAATTTCTTGGAGACCAAAAAATGACCTATCAAGAACAGAAAGAAGCTGGAAATAAAGAGAGGTGTGATTTCTAGTTTTATTTAACAAAAAAAAATGTAGATATTATTTAAAAATTGGCATAAAATAATGTACACCACCAATTACAGAAAAAGAAACATAACCTTTACTGAGAAGAAAGGGAGAAATATAACAATGAGTAATAAGCCAGAGAATTATTGCAGAAAGCAGAAAAGACATTTTATATCTCAGTGGAATAAAAATGTGAATAAAGAGAGAACTGAATTGTGACTAAGTGAAAGGGCTGAGTAGTATTTCCAAGTAAGTAAAATTGATTAAGGAACCTGGCTTTTTAATAAGTTTTGCCACCAACAAGGGGAAATTTAAAAGATTGGGAGAAATCTCAGTGGTGACCAATAGAGAGTTTAGCCATAACTGTTTGTGCTAATTGTGCAACTGTAGCACCACTAGGAATGATACACAAGGCGAGGGCTGACCTTTCAGTATCTCATGTGTGTAGGTGTTTTGTGTGTACCCTTAAGTTTACTTTTCTAAAGTATGTAGTCTATGTCCGGACTATATAGAGAAATTCTCTGGGGAGAAGTTGTCTTAAGAGACTATTAGTGGGGGCCTCTCCCTGGTGCTTAAGCACCACACTGTGAAGCTGTCCGCAGCCTCTGCAGCACAAGTTCAATTCCGAGCCGGCCAGGGAACTACCCACATGGCGCAGCAGACCTCTCTTGTCTTGCCTGCTCCTCCCCTCAGTAGTGTATTTCAGTCAGTCTGCCTGCTCTGTTCCCCATTCTGTCTCTGGTGAATCCTCTCACACCCCCCTTAACCTCTGGCCTGTACCCCAGTTCTTGTATGCATAAATAAATCTTTTTTAAAAAAGAGACAGTTAGAAAAATGTGCTTATTATTATGACAAGATGTAAAAGTCCATCCAAGATGTAAGTAAATTCCTAGTGTATCATTTGTCTTACTTCTATGAGTGCTTTAAATATATCCTGTCATTCTCTTCTTACCTAAAAGGTATCCACTGAAAAGCTCACAACAGTCTAAGTTGGATTACGTTATAAGTTATTCTTCTCTCTTGGAGTATTTAATAATTTGTCTTTGCCATTGACTTTCAACAGAGTGTGTCTGTATGGTATTATTTTGTCTGGAATTCTTTGGAACTCTTGGATAGGGGTATCTGGTTCATTTCTCAGCTTGAGGTGGCTCTGAGAAGATAAATATGGGGTCATACTATGGTGGAGGACTATGGGTACTTTGGTTGTGACTGCAACTGAGGGGAGAAATCCTATACTGTCAACATATTTATAAGAATATAAAATAGTGGCACTTCATTAAAATAAATAAAATATAAAATAAAGATGATTGTCAGCAATTATTTCTTTAAATGAATTTTCCATACCATTTTTTTCTCTTCTCCTTCTGGGCCCCCCAATGATGCTAATATTATATCCCTTTAGTTATCCCAAAGAACTCTTACACTGATTTCATTTTTTTAAAGATTTATTTATTTATGCATGCAAGAACTAGGATACAGGCCAGAGGTACAGGCGGTGAGAGGATTCACCAGAGACAGAATGGGGAACAGAACAGGCAGATCTACTGAAATACACTGCTGAGGGGAGCAGCGGGTGAGTCAAGAGAGGTCTGCTGCGCCATGAGGGTCACCTCCCTGGCTGGCCAGGAATCGAACTCATGCTGCAGAGGCTGTGGTTAGCTTCACAGTGCTATGCTTAACCCCTTGCACCACCAGGGAGGCCCTGATTTCATTTTTTAAACTTGTTAAATCTTTGTTGTTCTGTTTGTGTGTTCTGTACTTTCAAACTCACAGATTCTATTTTGTGTTCATTGACTTTTAAGGCTCTCTATTGAATTTTTTGTTATAGTATTTTTATAGTTTTCTATTTCCTCAGTCTTTATTATTTTATATCACTCATTGTTTTTTCTTAATTCAGCAAACATGATTATGTTTGTTAACTTAATCATTTCTTCAGGCATATTCCACAGTTCTGATTGACATTCTGTTTTGTTTTTTTTTTTTCTTTTTTCCCCTAGCACTTGTGATATTCTGCCTGGTTATTTATTTATATTTCTTATTTTTTTCTTACATCCCTGTAGTCTCCATAGTTCTCCTACTACCATATCACCCATGAACCATCACCATATTCCTTTTTATTCACCCCTCTCCTGTTTTGTAATACTCTTCCTCCACCTCCTTTCCTGTGTGCCTCAGTTCCATGGTCAGCTTGCTAGTTTTGGCTTTTTCCTGACTTTTCGTTTGGTCATTTTTAGTTGTATGAGTTGTGATGGGGTGCTTCCTTTCCATATCTTAATAAATTGGCTTTTTATCATTCCTACAAGATACTGGATACTTTTACCCAGAATCTTTAAGTCAATAATTAGATCTATTTTTTCACAGACCACTGCAAAATAGTGATCTGTTCAGATAGTCAGGGCTCTGGTGCAGGTAAGGGGTAAGAGCTAGGGTGAAGCTTGGGCAGTAAGACACAAAATTGTTGTCTCCAGTGAACATCAAGCGTTCAAGCTTGCTACAGCATTGCAGGTACGCGTATTGCATGGTGGAGATTCACAGTGATTCCCCTACACTAAATCAATTCCCCAACCAAAATGTTCCATATGGTTTTACACTAATCTCAACTTCTTGAATAGGCTGAGAGTTACCAATAGATACAGTTGTAGTGGCAGGAAGGGCACAGAGCAGGTTTCTATGACTGGAGCAGACAGGGTAAAGGAGGGTCCTGGAGGCCTCGGAGGCTAAAGGAGGTCTTCGGTGTCTTTTTCAGGTGTTTACTGAGTTTACCAGGTACCTGGCAGGCAGGGGTGCTGGGGGGCTGGGAGGCTGGCAGGCTTCCCAGCCCCCAGCAAATCTTCATCTTTCTGGGCTCTCCAGTGTTCTCTTGTGACCCCTGCTTTTCTTTCGCTCCTTTTGCTCTGCTGGCGTCTCCGTGATGCCGCCCTTATAAGCCCAGCCTCTCAGCCCAGGTGTACCCACCTACGCATGCCCACACCCTACTCCAGGTGCCCGGCCATCAGGCATGCATTCAGAACCACAGGTTTCCATCATCAGTCCTAATGGCGGGAGGGCAAAAAAGCCTGATACTTTTTACCTTACCCTACAACATCGCTTTCCAGGCAATGCTGGGTCTCCCAAGTCTCATGTGGGCATCTGTCCCTTAGTCAACAATAGCAGAGACTGTCTCCCTGCCCTCTCAGGGTTGCCCTGCCTCAATATTACAGCAAACACGGTTTAATTTTCATATCACATTCTACCACTCAGTTCCTCCTGATGTATGCTGTAGTTATCTGTTTCTCTTTCAGGGGCTGTTGACTTCATTTTCTTTGTTGTGAATATACGAAGGAAGTGAATCCTGTGTTTTCACAACTGTGCCGCCATTTTGCCAGACTTCTCCACTGATAGCTCCTCTAAATGATGCTTATAATTTGCTGTTGTTTTTTAAAATAAGAATATTTACATTAAAGACTTTAAAAGAGATATACAAAAGCTTTCATCAATTTCTTTCACTCAGCTCTTCAGGTGAAAATGCAAGCAGTCAAGAGACCTGTCAATCTAATTCATCATACTGCTCCACTCTGAGTGAGTCACATGCTCCGTTGTCAAGGAATAGAGCATTTCACTCACATTCTGATTCTGGAATATCTTCTCTGGTAAATATTTTTAATTTGCCTTCATTTAACTATAAGCAAATAAAATATATTTATCTTATGTTTAGTATTTTCAAATAAATGTATAAATTTCTTAAATCTACTCTTTTTATTTTTTTATTTATTTTATTTTTTTAAGATTGTAAAGGTCAGAACTGGCCACAGTGCAGGTTCTCTGATCCCATGTAGACCGGGTAAAGGAGGAGTCAGAGTCCTCAGTAGTTTTGCAGGTTTTTTATTTGGGGTTCACCAGGCATATGGCAGGCAGGGGTGCTGGCTGGGGGGCTGGGAGGCAAGTCTTCACTCTATCTGGGCTCTCTAGCGTTCATTCTGCTGCTTCTCGCCTTCTCTTTTGGCTTCTGCTTCGGCTTCTACTGCTGCTGCTGCTGGCGTCCCCGTGACGCCGCCCTTAAAAGCACAGTCTTAGCTCAGCTGAATCCCATCTACCTATGCCCACACCCTACTCCAGGTGCCCGCCATCAGGCATGCATTCAGGACAAGGATCCATCATCTATCCTGATGGCGGAAGGGCAGAAAAGCCTGACATTTTCTTTACCCTACAAAGATTTATTTATTTATTTTTTATATTCCCCATACAATTGCACCCCCCTCATTTGGACACCAATTCCTTCTCTCCTGCCCCCCAATAGTGTGTCTCTGGTTTATAGTTGTTTGTTGATTTTGATTTTCTCTTTATTATGGATATTCTTTTCCTGGTCCCTTATATAGGTTTTCTAGATTCCTGCTATGAATGAGACCATCCAGTATTTTTCTTTTTCTTTCTGGCTTATTTTGCTGAGCATGATCCCTTCCAGCTCCATCCATGTTGCTGCAAATTGCATGAGCTTATCTGTTTTGATTGCTGAGTAATATTCCATTGTGTATATATGTACACATCTCCTTGATCCAGTCATCTATTTTTGGGCATTTGGGTTGTTTCCAAAGCTTAGCTATTGTAAACAGTGCTGCTATAAACATAGGGGTGCAGGTGCCCTTTTGAATTAATGTTTCTGTGTATAGATGTATCCTGATAGCTGGAGGATAGATGTATCCTGATAGCTGGAGAGCAGAAAAGCCTGACATTTTTCCTTACCCTACAATGCGCCATTCTCATTGGTGTGAGATGGTATCTCATTGCAGTTTTGATTTGCATTTCCTTGATTACAAGTGATGCTGAACAATTTTTCATATGCCTGTTGGCTGTAGGGGCAGGATGGACACGGTGCAGGTTTTCTGATCCAGCAGACAGGGTAAAGGAGGAGTCAGAGTCCTCAGTGGTTTTTTGCAGGCTTTTATTGGGATTCAACGGGTACGTTTCAGGCAGGGGTGCTGGGGGGCTGGGAGGCTGGCAGTCCTCCCAGCCCCCAGCAAATCTTCACTCTATCTGGGCTCTCTGGCGTTCTCTGCTTCTGTTTCGGGCTTCTTCTCTTTCGGCTTCTGCTGCTTCTGCTGGTGTCCCCGTGACGCTGCCCTTATAAAAGCACAGTCTTAGCGCAGGTGTACCCACTTCAGGTGCCCGCCATCAGGCATGCACTCAGGACCACAGGGTTCCCTCATCTATACTGATGGCAGGAGGGCAGAAAAGCCTGATTTTTTACCTTACCCTACACTGTTGGCCATTCGCATTTCCTCTTCAGAGAAGTTTCTTTTTAGCTCTTCTGCCCATTTTTTGACTGGCGTGTTTTCTTTGTTTTTGTTGAGTCTCTTCAGCTCTTTGTAGATTTTTGTGATCAGTCCTTTATCATTAGTGTTGTGTGCAGAAATTTTCTCCCAGTCAGTGGGGTTTCTCTGTTTTGGTTATTGTCTCTTTTGCCATGCAGAAGCTCTTTAAAATTGATGTAGTCCCAGCTGTTTGTCTTTGCCTTCACTATCACTGCTTTGGGTGATTTGTCTATAAAGATGTCTTTGAGATTCACGCCATGTAGTGTTTCGCCTATATTTCCTTCTGTATATTTTATGGTTTCAGGTCTTATGTCTAGTTCTTTAATCCATTTTGAGTTGGTTTTTGTGCATGGTGTGAGGTAGTAGTTAAGTTTCATTCTTTTGCATGTAGCAACCCGGTTTTCCCAGCACCATTTATTGAACAAACTTTCTTTACTCCAGTGCATATTCTTTGCTCCTTTGTCAAAAATTAGTTGACCATAAATCAGTGGGTTTATTTCTGAGTTTTCTATTTGGTACCATTGGCCTGTGTGTCTGTTCTTGTTCCAATATCATGCAGTTTTGATTATTATAGCTTTGTAGTATAGTTTGAAGTCTGGGAGTGTGATGCCTCCATTCCCTTCTCTCTCTTTTTTTTTTTTTTTCAGGAGGGTTTTAGCTATTCAGGGTTTTTGGTGGTTCCATATGAATTTCATCAATATTTTTTCTATTTCTTTGAATGACATTGAAATTTTTATAGGAATAGCATTGAATCTGTAGATTGCTTTTGGTAGAAAAGCCATTTTGATAATGTTAATTCTTCTGATCCATGAGCAGGGGATGTCTTTCCATTTCTTTGTGTCTACTTCTGTTTCTTTTAACAATGTCTTACAGTTTTCTCTGTATAGGTCTTTTACTTCTTTTGTCAGGTTTATTCCCAAGTATTTGATTTTTTTTTTTGTTTCAGTAATAAAAGGAATGGTTTTCTTGATTTCTTCTTCTTCAGATTTATTGTTTGTGTATAGGAAGGCTACTGATTTTTGTATGTTGATTTTGTATCCTGCCACTTTACTAAACTGATTGATTAGTTCAATTAGTTTTTCTGTGGAGTTTTTGGGGTTCTCTATATATATTATCATATCATCTGCAAAGAGTGATAGTTTGACTTCTTCCTTGCCTATTTGGATTCCTTGTATGTCTTTCTTTTTTTTTTTTTAAGATTTATTTATTTATACACGCACGGGGTACAGTCAGACACGCGGGAGGGTAAGGGAATTCACCAGAGCCAGAACAGGGAACAGAACAGGCAGACTGACGAAATACACTGCTGAGGGGAGCAGCGGGCATGGCAGGAGAGGGCTGTGTGCCATGTGGGACCCTCGCCAGTAGCTGGGGATTGAACCAGCGCTGCAGAGGCTGTGGGCGGCTTCGCAGCCCAGCGCTCAACTACTGCGCCACAAGGGGAGGCCCTCCCTGTATGTCTTTCTCTTGTCTTATTGCTCTGGCTAGGACTTCCAGTATTATGTTGAACAGCAGTGGTGAGAGTGGACATCCTTGTCTTGTTCCTGATCTTAATAAATGCTTTCAGCTTTTCGCCATTGAGAATGATATTGGCTGTGACTTTGTCATATATGGCCTTTATGATGTTGAAGTATGTTCCTTGTATCCCGAGAATTTCAAGGGCCTTTATCATAAATGGGTGTTGTACTTTGTCGAATGCTTTCTCAGCATCTATTGATATTATCATATGGTTTTTATATTTCTTTTTGTTCATGTGTTGGGTTACATTGATTGATTTTCGGATGTTGAACCATCCTTGTGTCCCTGGAATAAATCCTACTTGGTCATGGTGAATTATCTTATGGATACATTGTTGGATTCTGATGGCTAAAATTTTATTGAGGATTTTTGCATCAGTGTTCATTAAGGAGATTGACCTGTAATTTTATTTTTTTGTGCTGTCTTTGTTTGGTTTTGGTATTAGTGTAATGTTGGCTTCATAGAACATATTTGGTAGTATTCCTTCTTTTTCAAATTTTTGAAAGAGATTGTGTAGGATAGGCACTAGTTCACTGCTGAACATGTGGTAGAATTCATTTGTTAAGCCGTCTGGGCCTGGGCTTTTGTTTTGGGGGAGAGCTTTGATTACTGCCTCAATTTCACTGTTTGTAATTGGTCTGTCTGGTTGTTCTATTTCTTTTTTGTCCAGCTTTGGATTATTATATCATTCTAGGAATTTGTCCATCTCTTCTAGGTTGTTGAATTTGTTTGCATATAAGTGTTCATAGTAATCTCTGATTATTCTTTTGATTTCTACTGAGTCTGTTGTGATTTCTCCTCTTTCATTTATAATCCTATTTATATGTGTTTTCTCCCATTTTTTCTTTGTGAGCCTGGCTGGAGGTTTGTCTATTTTGTTTATTTTTTCAAAGAACCAACTTTTAGTTTCATTGATCTTCTGGATTTTTTTTAATTTCCAATTCGTTTATTTTTGCTATGAGTTTTATTTTTTCTTTTCTTCTACTGGCTTTAGGGGTTTTTTTGTTGTTCTTTTTCTAGCTCTTTGAGAAGTGAGATTAGGTTGTTTCTTTGAGTTCTTTCTTATTTGTTGATGTAACCCTGTATTACTATATATTTTCCTCTCATTACTGCTTTTGCTGAGTCCCATACATTCTGGAAAGTGGCGTCCTCCTTGTTGTTCAACTCAAAGTATTTTTTAATTTCTTCTGCAGTGTCCTATAGATGTCTGTTAAGTCCATGAGTTCTATGTCTTTATTTAGGGCTCTCGTGTCTTTGTTTATTTTTTGTTTCATTGATCTGTCCATTGGTGAGAGTGGGGTGTTGAATTCTCCCACTATATATGTATTTTCTTTAATGTCTGTTTTCAGAGCTAATAAGAATTGTCTAATATATTTTGGTGCCACTTCATTTGGTGAGTATATGTTGATGAGTATTATATCTTCCTGATGTATTGTCCCCTTGATCATGATGTAGCGTCCATCTATGTCCCTTTTTACCTTTTTTAATTTGAAGTCTATTTCATCTGATATAATTATGTCTGTTCCTGCCTTTTTTGGTCCATTGCTTGTAGGATTGTTTTCCAACCTTTTACTTTCAGTCTGTGTTTATCTTTTGTGGTTAAATATGTTTCCTGGAGATAGCAGAAGGTTGGATTTTATTTTTTAATCCAGCCTGCCACTCTGTGTCTTTTTATTGATGAGTTTAATCCATTTACATTTAGAGTTAATATTGATATGTTGGCATCTGTGTTTGCCATTTGTTTGTCTTTTTGTGATTTATTCCCTGCTTTATTCTGTTCTTCTTGTTCATTCCTCTGTTGGTTTTGGCTTTAGGACTTCTTGTAGATTTTTTTGGAGTAGGGGGTTTATTTGTAATGAATCTCCTTTTTCATGCTTGGGAAGTTTTCTTCAATTATCTCCTTGAATAATTTCTCAGTTCCTTTGTCTCTCTCCTCACCTTCTGCAATGCCTATAACTCTTACATTTCCTCTCTTCATGGTGTCTGATAATTGTCTAAGAGTATCCTCATACTGCATCATTTGCACTTCTCTCTCCTTTTCTCTATTGGCTCTTTTTATTCCTGTATCTTCGATAGCACTGTTCCGTTCTTCCATTTCATCAATTTTGTTTTCATTGCTTTTCCCAGAGTTCTTTATCTCCTCTAGTAATCTTTTAATCTCCTGTGTTTCTGTTCTTTCCTTTCTTAAGGTCTCAAATTCATTCTTCAGTTCAGTGATTATTTGTCTCAAATCATTTTTTTTCCTGTTTGTTTTCTTTCTGCTTTTTAATCATGATGATCATTAATTCTCTATCTGATAGGCCAAGAAGTTCTTCCATGTCATTGTTGACCTCTGGTGACTGTATTTCTTTTCATGGTCTGTCCTCCTGTGGGCTTGCTTGGTTATTTATATTTTTTTCTTCACCCAGCTGGCCTTGGGCTATTTGTAGGTCTCCGTGGATTCTTTGTTTTTTTCTAATGGCAACTGGAGCTGTTCGCTCACCTCCACGGCGATTCCTGCATGGTTCTCCACAGTTCCAGTTCACAGGGTGTGGTGCCTGAAATAGTTCCTTTCCACTCACAGTCCCGCTTGATGCATAGTTTGTTCTTGTTGTTTGTTTTAGTTTTGTTGTTGTTGTTGTGTTTTTTCCTTCTTTCTGTTGGTCAGAGAGTGCCGACCTTGTGGGTCAGGGAGGGTAGCAGGGTTCTGAGCTTTTTCCCTTCTAGTCCTCTTTTATGGCAACTTTCTTCTTCAGGCAGTTTGCCAGAGTTGCCTATTTATCTTCCATGTCCCAGTTCTCACAGGGACCTGCCGCTTTTCCTCCCTATTAACTTTTTTTTTAATGGGTGGTCTTACTTTTTTTTTTTTTTAAATAGAGGCATGTTATTTATTTGTTTGTTTGTTTTGTTTATATATGCACTGGGTACAGTCAGAAGCGCGGGAGGGTGAGAGAATTCACCAGAGCCAGATCGGGGAGCAGAGCAGGCAGACGGACCGAAGTACACTGCTGAGGGGAGCAGCAGGCGGCAGGAGAGGTCTGCGTGCCATGTGGGGCCCTCCTCCGGTGGCCGGGGAGCAGCCGGGGATTGAACTGGTGCCGCAGAGGCCACGGGCAGCTTCGCAACCCAGCGCTCTACGGCTTCGCCACCGGGGAGGCCCATGGGTGGTCTTACTTACAGCGTTTCCCCACCACCATGTTGATCTCTCCTCTCAAATCTACTCTTGAAATTGTTGGAAGCGGAGTGAAAGTATGATACACTTAGTATAGACTGCAAGGACCAAGGAATAAAGAAATGACACACACAAAACAGAATTTAAGAGAAGGAGAACTCAGGGGACACAAGACCTCTCTTCTCATTCCAGGTTCAAGTGTCTCAAGTGCCCATTGAAACACATTTTTATTGATACAAACAGCCCCCACCCCCTGTATGTTAGTTATTAGACAATGAATCCTTCTGTTAATATTTAGCCTTGGTCGGGCACACATTCACTGCCAAGGTTCTGCGTTATTAGGTATGTTCTACTCCCTTTCTAATCTTGCCTGTTTCTCAGGCTTACCTTTGCTGACACAAGAAAGGACATCGTGGTCTGGACACGGGCCAGTCTTCCAGCCTGTGTTGACCATTCTTTTAGTCACAACCTTGACATTCTTCTTGTCTCAGCACCTCATGCCTTAGTAGGCATCTCCAACACATTTCTTCCTTTCCTTCATTAATAATTGTCCCACTTATCCCATAGGATTAAACATGTTATTTCTCTCCCTCCCGAATTACAGAAAGTGAGTTTCTCAAGGAGAAATGCCATATTTTATTTAGCTTTTTATCCTCAGTGCCTGAGAGAGAGCCTGACATAATAGGTATATAATATGTATTTTTGAATAAATGAGCAAAATAAAATGAACATACTTGCTCCAAAAGTTGTATTGAATGAACAGATTAATCAATTGGTTTATCATATTTTTTAAAAAAAATAGAAAAAGAATAAGCAAGGCACAAATATTTACTATACCTTTAATAAGAAATGGGTACCACATTAAGAACCTTATACAGAAATAAAAAAATTAAATGGCTCATTCCTACAATGTCAGAAGTCCCAACATCAAGTACATTACTCCCTTAAATAAAATGAGATTTTGTACAAAATTAGATGTCAGTTGAAAAATGGAAATTTTCTCAAAACAGCTTTTGCTTATATTTATTTTTCTCCAGTAAGAGTCTCAGGAAATAGCACAGAGTGGCCATACTGTGTGGACTACTCTGGGTATTTAATGTCTAAGAAATTTTTATTCTGTGATAGAAGAATCCAAAAGATAAAATTCCAAAAGCATGTAATGGGTTAGAAAAGAACCTCCATCAACATTCTAACTGAATAGCCAAGAATAGGCCAAGAATTATATATCTCAATAAAATCTAAAGTTTATTTGTGCTTACTAGATTTTAAAAAAAATTCTATTGAATGAGTGAATTCCTTGAAGCATGTTAGAAAATCCTCAGATATTGAGATATTTACTGGTACAACTAAGATCATTCATGAATAATAAAAATAAATGGTCAAAGATAAATTATAAATAAAATCTACCTCATCCTAATTTATTTTGAGGCTGCACAGGGTATGCTAGTCTTGCTGCTCCAAGAATGAGATTTAAAAGTATAGGTGAGCACTTTGTATTCTTGAATCACATATATCATATATTAAAAACTGTGTGAAGTCCTATAATAAAGAGAAACACTTAACTTGGTTTAATTTAGAATTTTATATGCTTATTTAATGGCAGGAGTGTGGTTTGTTTTAATATTGGTCACACATGTTTCCAGCTCAAACATAGCATTTGTTATGTGAATTGCTGCTCTGTGAGATGAATGCAGTTTTCCAAATATTTTAGTCACATTTTGTCAAATAAAATATTCTAGGTTTGTTTTTGTATATGTACAGCATTGGTTCACAGAAGAGTGAATCTATAGTGTATGTTTTTAACATGATAATCTTTTCTGAGTAATATGCATTTTCCATTGTGTTAGCCTTGAAATTATCATAGACTATATAAAGTACTAGAATTTTGACTACAAGCTTAATAATGGATAATATAAAATGGCCCAAATGATCTTGGCACCTATTCTGTCAGTAATACGCTGTCCAAAACAAGGAAACTGAACAGACTTGAAATATTTTATTGCAGACTCATTATTCATTTTAAGAGCAATGCCAATAATTATAACACTACCCAAGAGAGTCATGTGTTCTTTCTGAATAGTTACTCATTTGTAAACCATAATCTCTGACTGAAATTGAATGACTGAGGTGACAGTTAATTGTTAGCAAGCACTTAAAACTGTAGGCAGATGTGAAGGTATTGTTCTATGTAACTGCAAAGGGTATAACTTGCAGAGTTGGAGCCAGTTAGAGAGATTTGGGGACTCATATAATGAAGAATCCTTAACAATTGGAACTGTTCTAAAATGGAAAAATATTCTTCATGAGATATCCAGTAAGTATTAAAGGATGCCTTATCAAAGGGTATATAAATTTGATTCATGAGTGGGTACATATCCTTATTTCTGCTGTTATTTATTGTCAAATATAAACCAGTTACAGCTGTTAGATGTGCAAAATTGAATAAGGATACAAAATTTAGATTGGACGAGATGACTTCTATGAGCATATCATTAGGTACTTGGAATTTAATTTGGCTTAATGCTCGGCATGGATTTGCATTACTTTTACACATGAAAGTAAATTAATTATATATTGCCACATGATAATTTCTCTTCTCTCTTCTTTTAAAGCTTCCATCAGATTCTTTTAAATACCTCACTTGGCAAGGGATAGAACAACATGACATTCAAGGAAGTCAACTGCGCTGCCCAAGAGTAAGAGAAGGTAAAAGAACATATGTATGTATTCTTTGTGTACATGCACTGAGTAAAATATTTTTTGTGTATTGAAAGATGTTACTTGAAAATAAGACATTACTTGGAAATAGAAAATTTCCTTTTTCAAGACTATTGAATTATTAATCCAGTAAAGCTAACTTGAAAAGCATATTTTTAATCTAGTTATATAAATAATGAATGTTTCATATTAAATATTGGAAAAACAGAAAGATAAAGAAGAATCCATAATTCAACTATGCAGAAATAGTCACTATGACTTTTACTTCTATTATCATTTTTGGAAAGCATTTTCATACTTTTTCATAAAATTTAACAATTTTGTTTTTTGAGTTTTTCAGTTATCTTGATATTTATTGTGAACATATATCTTCTATGCTTTTAAACATCACCCACAATATGTCTCCTAAAAAGTTCACATCTCTCCATTATGTGGATAATATTAAATTATTTTTATTTATTTTTACATCATTTTTCATTTTTAAACAATATTTGCTTCCTCCCACCAGGTGTAGTCCCCATAGAATTTCCTTCAACAATGCACCCGTGCACCATCACCTCAGTCCCCTGTGCTCCTCCCTCCCTCCCTCTGATCCCTCTCCCTCCTTCTTCTCTGCAAGGTGTCTCTGGTTTATAATTGTCTGTTTTACTCAGCAATCAAAAAAGATAAACTCATGCCATTTACAGCAATGTGGAATTATGCTCACTGAAATAAGTCAGAAGAAAAAAGAAAAATATCAGATGGTTTCACTTATAGGAGGAATATAGGGGAAACAGATAAGATATCAGTGTAAAAAAAACCAATAATAATACAAAACACAACAAAACAAATATTAAATTATTTAACCAGTGATCTTTGTTGGATATTCTATTTACTACATTTCATGGTCACAAATAACATCATTGCTTCATGAATAATTTTATCTTAATTCTACATATTTTTAAGCATCAAATGGAATCTAGATAAACCAGCTGTTCTCATTTTAAGTTTTCACTAACTAGTTTAAGTTTGAGAACATAACCAATATTTTTTACTATTCCTTTTTCATCCTATGAGATATTACATTGTATGATGTGATAGTATGAGTATGAAGAATTCTTATCTGCAGCCCTTGATATGTGCTCAACTATTATAAATACCTTTAAATAGATTATAAATTATGTAAAATAGATTTCTTGTGTAATTTTTGCATCTCTTATAATTTGATAAAATAATTCTGGCTGTTATAAATAGTCTTTATAAAACATCAGATAGTTTGGCTATCTTCCATCTGTTTTTGCAGACTTGTGGTTGTGCAATTATATTGTACAATTTTAACAATAATTTTGAAAAGGTTGATTTACATATATTCATCTAACCACTTCCCCCCTCAGTTGCACTACTTTACCCACACAATGCCTTTCTTTTTCACTTATTCAGTTAACAAAAGAAGACTAAAATAGCATCATTTTCTGAAACTTTGAGTAAAATATGTTTTAGCTGTTAGCTCCACTTATAGCTAAACACTGACAGTACCACCATCTACTAATAACAATAGATGCTATCAATATCTGATATTACTAAAGACAAATTTGAATTTTTTTTGTGGAACATAGAATATATTTCAAGAGAAGGAAATTATAGGGGATTAGGGAGGAGACTAGAAGCAGTGGAGTTTGTGTCATGTGTATAAGGAATTCACCAACCAAAGAGTGCTACCTCAGGGAATAATGTGGTCAGGGTTCAGTTGGTCCTGAAATTTCAGAGTGTGGACAAATTATCTGGAGGTATACACAAATACAGATTGCCAGGTATTAATCCCAAAGCTTCTAGGTTGTATAGAGTGGGATTCTCGGGCCTGCATTTGTAAAAATTATCACAGGAGATTTTGTTGCAGATGATTTGATAGCCATTTTATGAGAAACAGGGGGCTTGTGGGAAGGGAGAGAAGGAAGAAATTTGAATAGAAAGTGAAAAAATTGGATGAAGTAAGGGCACTGGCTTTTATGTGTGTGCTTGTGTGTTGGGGGTGGGGGGAGTGATTGTGGCAGCCACAATGAAGTGTAAATAAATTGTACTCTGAACACAAATAGAGTTGAGGTTTAATGAGTACTACGTACTAAAGAAATTAGAGAGTATGATGGGAAAGTAAAATGTAGGAAAGTAAAATGTAGGACTAAACTGAAAATGAGAATGTGTGAAGAGAATCCAATGGCATCTCTTCTTCCCTGATTCATGTGTTGATGTTGTCTCTCAGCAAAACTGATCCCATGTAATAACCACAGTAGCAATTCATGCAGAAAACATCATAGCATTGCTGAGATAAAGCACATTTCTTTCCATAGATCATTAACAGCACACAATCTTTCTTAAGTGGCTAGTAGTAAAAGTTCGAATGAAGCATGATCTAGTGGATGGAAAATAATGGAAATTCTCAATACCTCACACCATGAAGAAAAGAGAAATCCCTAGTTTGCTGCCCTGAATTTTCTTTAAGTTTATTTTGTGAAGTGGGTAACAAGTGTATTTTAAAAGATTCTGATAAGAATTGTCATTATTATATCTTAGATCCACAAATACCCATTAAGACTACTTCAGGGCCTCCGTGGTGGCTCAAGGGGGTGGGATGCAACCTATGAAGCTATCTGTAGCCACTGTAGCATGAGTTTGATCCCTGGCCAGGGAGCAACCCACATGGTGCAGTAGTCCTCTCCTGACTCGTCCACTGCTCCCTTCGGCAGTGTATTTCATTAGATCTGCCTGTTCTGTTCCCCACTCTGTCTTTGGTGAATCCTCTCACCCCCCCCACACACACACTTCTGGCCTGTACCTCAGTTCTTGTATGCATAAATAAATAAATAAATCTTTTTTTTTTTTTTTTTTTTTTTTTTTTTTTTTTAAGACTACTTCAGTTGGTTTCTCTTGCCCCAATAGTACATTCAGGAAGAGTTCTTACAAAAGGAAAGGTTATCTAGTGTGTGATAAAAAGTAATTTACCAAGACTTTAATTGCCAGATCAAAACTAGACTTATCTCCTCCCAATTAAATGTAGCAAAAGAATAAACAGTTGGTAGAATTGTTTTAAGGTAGACTCTTTCAGTCTGAAAATCCCCCAGCAAGTGAATTCACTCTGTATCTATTATATATAAAGGGGCAAAGAACAAGTCCAAATTGCAAAACCAATATCCCTGGTCTATCAGCTATTCCAGGTTGTAGCTCTCAGCTGCTAAGATAGATCTTCAATCACCAACTAGGTCTGAGTAAAAAAAAAAAAAAAAAAAAAATCCAATTTAATACAACTCACAGGGGAAGTGACCTTTGGCCTCCAACTTCAAAGAAATATTTGAAAGCTTCTTTAAGAAGAGATATTTGAAAGAGCAGAAGATTAATAGAACTCAAACAAACAATATGCTCAGAGTTTTATAAATTTGGGGTATCTATTACACAAAGTAAGCTACCAAGTTTAGGGAGGGCGTTCTTAAAGACATTAGGGCTAGAGGTCTCTAGTTAGGTGGTTATTCCAGCTTTTAAAGTTCAATGGCTTCTAGCTGCAATTTCCCAACACAAAGATAATTTGTCTGTAAATTGGTTGGAATACTACTGCTTTCAGTATTAGGATATTTTATGGATGGCAGTAGTATAGATCATTGGGAAAGAAATGCCTGAAAAGGCAGGTTAACCTTAACTTCCACCTTAGCCTGATGGAAGAGCTGATGTTTATGTGAATACAATGAAATACTGAACTTTCCTTTATTGTATTCCATAACTCCTTCAAAAATGGACTCATTACCTGCCATTGTAGTCCAGTCAAACTTGTCACAAAAATAAAGTTTGTTCTTGATGGCTTCACTATGCTTTTTTGTATTATTTTCATCTTGGAAATGAGAGGAATCATCTACTGCAGAAAATTGGAGTGGGGGAATTGTGTACAAATTGTACCAGGTATGACTTACAGATATACAAAATGTTAGAGTTGGGAGGGGATTGAAATCATGTAGTCTAGGACTGATTTCAGGGTCCTAGTTGACATCTTAACAGTGAAATATGCCTAGGACAGCTTAGTAGAGTGTAGGGTTATGTGGCAATTAGAAAGCATGTTTACCTGAAAGTGTTAAAGATCAGTATTTTTATAAGACATTATAAATATAAGCAAACGTATCTTCTCACCCAAGTCCCTGATGGGTCCTTGATCTAGTCTTTCTGTGTTTTTGCAGACTGGAAAACTAAAAGTCAGAAAATTAAAATCAGTCATCTAGAGTCACTCAATTATATGCCACACTACTCTAGACTGGAAACAGAATATCCTTTGCTTAACACTGGAGGTTTGTGCACATCTGATTTGAAAGATAGTAAGATTGGGGAATGAGTTTGGAAATGGAAATAGAAGATTGTAGAAGGCTTGATTGATAAGCATGACTTTCCATCTTTATTTGGTAGGTATTAAGAAATTTCTGAAATATTTTGAAGACATGAATGCTATGGTAAAAGTTAGTTTTAAGCAGCAAATTGTGACATTTATATTGAAGGAGAGAAGAATGCAAACCCCTGGGACCAAGAGAAGGTAGTTACAGGTTGGAGAGAAAGGTATGAAGGTCTGGACATTGAAAAGGAAGGGAAATTTCTCAAGGTGAACACCAATAGGACAAGGTAACTAATTGAGTTAAAAAACAAAAGAAAAAATCAGGAGTGACTTCAGAATCTCTAAAGAGAAAGATATGTGAAGATTAAAGTCACTATACTGGTGATTTTTTTCTGGGCTAGAAATAATTTATGTTGGCTAAAGTTAACTTTACATGTTGACTTTTGTCATTATTACAGTCATTCCTTTCTCCTTTAAATCATTCTAGAAAAACATCTCAGTTACCTCTGAACCTCAAAATATATGGCCACAATTGGGGGTAGTTTAGTAAAAATATAGATACTATGTATTTTAATTTTCACATTGTTCTTAGTAATATGCTTACTTGGATTTTACAAAGAAAATACAGGTAAAATATTAACTAAAGTTAACTTTTGATCTATTTAGAAACATAGAATATAGGGCCTCCCCGGTGGTGCAGCGGTTGAGCGCTGGGCTGCGAGGCTGCCCGCAGCCTCAGCAGCGCCGGTTCGATCCCCGGGCACTGGGGAGGGTCCCACATGGCGCGTAGACCTCTCCTGCCACCCGCTGCTCCCCTCAGCAGTGTACTTCGGTCCTTCTGCCTGCTCTGCTCCCCGCTCTGGCTCTGGTGAATTCTCTCACCCTCCCGCACTTCTGACTGTGCCCAGTGCTTGTATAAATAAATAAATAAATCTTTAAAAAAAAAAAACATAGAATATAACAACATAACTATGAATAATTTAAATGAAAATATTCTAAAATCTTTATATTTTCCTGAAAACTCTAAACTTAGAAAAACAAATAAAAAGGATATAAGGTTGTGGATTTGTTTGCTATTTTTCTCTTATATTTATCTCTTTTTGTGACAAGCAAGCCTAGACAATAACTTCATCATAGGTGCCTCAAGCTTCCTGCAGCAGGAAGAATAAAAGAGAAGGGGATGGGGGGGGTGGGGGGCGGGAGGGGAAGGATTGGGGTCAGAATGGGGCGTTTGCAATTGTATGGGGGAATATCAAAATAAAATTTAATATTTAAAAAAAAAAATAAAAAAAAAATAAAAGAAAAAAATAAAAGAAAAAAAAAAAAGAGAAGGGGATGGTATAAATGTTTATTAATAATCTCTTGATTATTTATTATATTAACTGTGAATATGATTAAGTATTTTCAAATCAGAGGGTTAGTGTAATTCTGCTTGGAAAATGTGATAGTTTTTAAAACATGAAACATGAAAATTTAAAGACTCATAATTTTAACAATTTGAAAATGAGCAATGTGGCAAGACCCTGGAACCCTTCTCATGATCTCCTCTCCCCTACCAGGTCAGGCATTCAGGGGTGTATTTAATCAAACTTAATTATTTCTCATACTACTTGGGTTTAATATGGGTAAAATGATGTTTTTCCAAATTTTCATTTAATGGAATTTTAAAACAACTGTCCAAGTTTCAAGTGATGATGTCAGTCTTGTCCCTCTAAACCTACTACTTCCAAGATCTTGTCATTTGATTTTGCATAGGACCTCCTGCAGAAGAGTTGCTATTGCAACATGAGGAATGTACCTTGCCTCCACAGAGAAGAGTCCCTGAAAAAATTAAATGGAAAATATGGATACAAGAAAACTGGGAAGAATGTACGGTAAGAGCTTAAACAAACAGAGAAAAGCCCATTTTGTTATTGATTGATTCTGACATCTTTTTTAAAAGGGCAGTTACTAACATAAATACCAAAATTTCAAACCCCTCTCAGAGCTTTCTCTGAAGTAAGTGATATTGGGTTTCTCCATCTTTTTTTTTTTTTTTTACCACCTTTCTGGAGATACCTTCATATATCAATAATCATTGCATGTGAATAGACTGAACTTGCCAATTAAAAGATAGATTATCTGGTTGGATTAGTAAACAAAATCCAGTCATCTTTTATCTCCAGAAAACATGCCTGAGCTACAAAAATAATCATAGAATCAGAATAAATGGCTAGAAAACAATCCTACAAGATAATGGGACCCGAAAGAAAGCAGGGACAACCACAGTTATATCAGACAAAAGAATTTACCATTAAAAAAGGTAATTGGGGCCTCCCTGGTAGTGCAAGGGGTTAAGCACCACACTATGAAGCAATCCACAGCCTCTGCAGCACAAGTTCGATCCCCAGCCAGCCAGGGAGCAACCCACATTGCGCAGCAGACCTCTCCTATCTTGCCCGCTGCTCCCCTCAGCAGTGTATTTCGGTCAGTCTGCCTATTCTGTTCCCCACTCTGTCTCTGGTGAATCCTCTCACCCTCCGCATCTCTGGCCTGTACCTCAGCTCATGTATGCATAAATAAATCTTTTAAAAAATAAAAAAAGTAATTGGTCAGAGATGGGCACTATATCATGATTAAAGGAACAATAAACCAGGAAGACATAGCACTCATCAATGTATACTCACCAAATGAGAGTATCAAAATATATAAATAATTACTATCATTTCTGAAAACACATATTGGAAAAAGCACAGTTGTGGTAGGAGATACAGATGAGTGGATCAAGATGTGGTATACATACACAATGGAACACTATACAGTGATCAAAAAAGAAACACATGCCAACTGCTACAACATTAATGTAGCTGGAAAGGATCATGCAGTAAAATAATTCAGTAGTTGAAGAACAGATACCAATGGTGTCACTTACATGTGGGATATAGGGAAACCAGAGAAAGGGTCAGATAAAGCAAAAGCTAGTCTTCGAAAGCAGACTATAAAACTGAGACATTCAAAGGGAGAGAGAAATAAGGATTAGTGAGCACATAATGGACTATGGTGATGGACTATGAGTGCTTTAGTGGTGGGAGTGCTATGGTAACAGCAGTGGAAATGGAAGGAATCCCATACTTCCAAAATACAAACAATAATGTAAATCAATGTTACCCCCCAAAAAAGTCAATTACATTGTTTCATACTTTAAAAAAAAAAAACATTATTTTGTTCAATATTTTTCATTGACAGAAATAGATATTAAATTCTAAAGTTAATTTTTAGTCTTGTTTTTATATAAAGCCTGTCATTTTGTAGAACTGTGTTATCATTTGGGAGAACAGTTTAAAAATTTGTTTTTCCTAGAATTAGAATGTATTTTCTGAGATTTAAAAAAGATTTGGAACACAAATAGTAAAGTAAGGCTCTGTCTTTTTTATAAGAAAATAAACCTTGGTCTCTTTTATAAGAAACTAACCTTTCCTATTTCAGAGTCATTACCTATACTTATTTAAAAATTTAAGCAAGAATAGGGCCTCCCTGGTGGTACAAGGGGTTAAGCACAGCACTATGAAACAATCTGCAGCCTCTGCAGCACGAGTTCAATCCCCGGCCAGCCTTCATGGTGCAGCAGACCTCTCCTGTCTCGCCTGCTTCTCCCCTCAGCAGTGTATTTCAGTCAGTCTGCCTGTTCTGTTCCCCACTCTGTCTCTGATGAATCCTCTCACCACCCACCCCGCACCTCTGGCCTATACCCTGGTTCTTTTATGCATAAATAAACAAATCTTTAGAAATAACAAAAATTAAAATTTAAGCAAGAATATAATATAGAAAATTCTGTACTATCTAAGTGTATGTCTTTGATTAGCACATTCCTTACGTGCTAATCTTCTTTTCTTCTGTAAATGAATTGCTTTCATTCTTTTGTCAATCCATTCTCAACATGGAAATATTTAAATAAACTGATTTTCCCACTTATGGAATATTAGGTAGCCATTAAAATACTTAGAATAGGAATTGCTTATTATAAGTGAAAATATTAAAATTCAAAAGTATTTAGAGTGTATTCCACTTATACCTATAAGAAAATAGGAAATAATAAAAACACAAGAGGTGGTAATAGGCCAAATTTTTTTAAATATGGAAATAAGTTGATTTTTACAAGATCATTTTATCACCAAGAGTGGTTTTAATTTCGGTTGCATCAAAATTGACTGATGTCAACAATGAAAATAAAATGTCCATTATATTTGAGAGATGCCATGTCTTTTAGGATTGTATTCCTTGTCAATTAAAAGCAAAATCATAGTTTTCATTTGTCAAATAGTGGTATCTTATTTTGAAATTTTTTTAAAATATAATTCTGAGTATTTCCAAAAGGTCTAAAGAGAACTAGACCAGAAGCTCCCAAACAGAACTTTATCATCTCCACTCTTCCCCACTAGAGTGTTTCAGAATCTGTTTTTAGTTCCACCCTCCTTCCACATCCAACACTGGATGTAATTGTAAGTATAGGACAGTCAAGATCTTTACACTCCCTTGAGAACTGCTGCTACATAATTGTATTTGTATGTGTGAGTATTTTAGAGTACAAAATTTAAAAATGTGAAAATAACCTGTTTAAAATAAATATGCAACAATTTTTGATTAATAACTATTTTTAAAAGATGATAAAACTTGATTTTTTTATTTGTTTGTCCTTCAGAATTTGAACATTTCATTTCAGGATTTGGGGGATCCTTATCAAGTTGAAAATTTTAAAAGAATTCTTAGAAGACTAATTCGAGTTGAAACCCTCTGGCTAGTGGATAATTCATTAGTGGACTTAAGTGCCGTAAGATTGCCAAGGTATCTGCTCCCTGATATGTCCAGTTACTAAGTTAAAGCTAAATCTTTGCTATTTGGATAACATTGTGTGCACCTGTTGTGAAAAGTTTTAAAAGTTGATGCTTACTACTAAGTGATGCCTGAGTAAGGCAAAAAGATATTTGTATATCAAAATATCACACTTTAGAGTAAAAAAGTTTATTTTTTCCCAACCTAATTTTGTAATCAATTTTTAAGGAGTAATTTGTAATCATGGAATCATGTTGGCAATAAAATTTGCCATGTCCCTTGTGTTGTTAACTAGAAAGATTTTTTGGCAGCTGACAAGAGTCTTGGTGTCCAGGTCACATTCTAATGGAGGGGTAGGGGTTGGAAATCTGATCAGTGACAGAAACAAACTGTAATGTATATATACATATATATATGTACATACACACACACACACACACACACACACACAGGGTCCTTAGTCTTCTAAGGGTCCCATACTCCTCTTATTAAAGATGACATGTGTTTGTTCAGGATTGTATGAGAACCCTTTCTACCCTTTCTGTAGAGAGCTGCCATCTATTTCCCAGGCATAGCAGGTAAGTGGAGTGACCCTTTGGTAATTATTAGAGGGGCAAACGGTGTAGTGTACTCAGGAGAAAATTAGGAGATGAGGGAAGTCAAGTAGCCACAGGAAGGAAGGGTTAATCTTAGAACTCCGAGCCTGGACTGAGACTGCTCAACAAAAGAGATTGTCACAACTACACAGGAGAGGGCGATGGTCTGGCACACAGCAGATGTGTAATGACATACGATGTGCCCAGATATTCCCACCTTGATTATTTTTAAAACACCTTAGAAACTTTAGACAGATTTGTATAGGAGTTGTATTTATTTATGTTTCTTAGTTTTTATTTTCAAAGTTTATTTCAATTTTTTAAATTGAAATAACAATTGACTTATATAGATTTCAGGTGTTCATTATACATCAACTTTTTTACAGTACATTATATTAACGTGTTCACCACTAAAAGCCTAATTCCATCCATCCCTATACATTGATCCCTTTCACCTGATTTACTCACCCATCTTCCCCCTTCCCTACTATTTTGTCTTGTAGTCTAAAGGTTTATTTTTGTTTCATTTAGTTCATTTATTTGTGTCTTTAAGTACATGTGAGTAGGACAAAGTTTTTAATCAAAGTTTATTAATCTTTGCCATTTAATGGAAAAGAAAAGAAGGCCTTGTAGACACCGTCACTGCCAGACTTGCCGCATGGCACAGCCATGGTGAAGCCCAGGGCTGTCTTCCACATCCCTGTGGGCTGTGAGCCCTTAGGCCACGTGGTCTTGAAGCTGTTTCCAGGCAAAGTTCCAAAGACAGCAGAAAACTTTTGTGCCATGAGCAATGGGAGAAAGGATTTGGTTATAAAGTTTCCTCTTTTCGCAGAATTATTCCAGGATTTATGTGCCAAGATGGTGACTTCACTCGCCAAAATGGCACTGGAGGCGAGTCCATCTTTGGAGAAAAATTTGATGATGAGAATTTCATCCTGTAGCGTACAGGTTCTGGAATTTTGTCAATAGCAGATGCTGGAACCCAACACAAATGGCTCAGTTTTTCACCTGCGCTGCCAAGACTGGGTGGTTGGATTCAAGCATGTGGTCTTTGGCAAGGTGAAGGAGGGCGTGAATACTCTTGAAGCCATGAGGACTTTAGGTCCAGGAATGGCCAGACAAGCAAGAAGAGCACCACTGCTGACCGTGGACAAACCAATAAATTTGACTTGACTTGTGTTTTATCCTAACTGCACTCCTACACTGCTTGAAAAATCCTATAACCTTTATGCTCTCCGTTCAGTTCTTTGAGTTCCATGTTTTTCTTATCCCTTTCCAAGTGTAGCAGCCAGATTGCAGTGTTCACTTCATGACTACTAAAGAAGCAATAAACCAAAAAAAAAAAAAAAAAAAAAAAAAAAAAAAAGAAAGAAAGAAAGGAAAACTGCTGTGATCACTATAAGATACTAGTTTCAGTATTCTCTAGATGTGTTCTTCTGGCCTTTCTTTAGAAGTAGGATATACAATGTAAAATCATACAATTGCTATTCAAACTTCACATCTGTCATATCAATCTATCAAGGGAGAAAAAGATGTCAGTATGTATATTCATAACCTCCTTCCCTTCAACCTCAGGGGAAACCACACTTGCTTTGCTACTCTTCTTCCCCTATAATTATTTTACTGCTTAGCCAGTGGTGCCAGGGATGGGGTGAGTCTGAAAAACTGAGCAGATGGAAGGATATACATTGAAATATGAGGGAATGACTGACAGATGAGAAAGGAACAGATTTCAGAGAACGGAGAGAGGGAAGAATGACAGGAACTGCTGGCACTTGGTTTTCATTAGAAATTGTCATAGCACTAACATGTTCCAACAGAGTATGTGCAACTGGGAAAAGAGTCAGATTCAAAAGTTATCAAAGATATTATTAGCAGTTTGTAGAATATCAATATAGAGAGGGTTTGGAAGGAAACAAGAACAATGAAAATGATAGATGTGAAAAAATTATAAGACATCTGGATGGATTCAAACTGGATTTGTTTTTCTGATGCTGTGATAAAGCAGTCTTCTTTCTGTATAACACCATCTTTACCATTAACAATTAGTATTTTTCATGTGTCTTTGCAAGGTCTGCGACCCATCAATAATTAGCCCTGTCTTCCCTTAGGGTATTAAATACCAACATATATGAAGAATTTTTTTCCTTGACACAAAGTGTCAATGATAGATTTTGAATTATTTTTTGTATTTGCAAAATCTCATACAATTATGATTTTAAGGCAAAAAATATTGTGAAGCATTATCTGTAGGGAAATTTATTCAGTCAGGAAGAGGAGCAGCTGCACAAACTATACACATTTAATGTATTCATTCCTCAGCCTGCTCACTGACTGAGCAGTCAGTGAAAATGGAAAACAGAATAAACCACTTACTATGATGTTTTGGCTGTCAAACCCAATGCCACCCAGGAAGAACAGAAAAAGACTTAAAGGAAACTGGCCTTAAAGTACCTCCAAATAAATGAAGTTTTAATAGATTTCTCAAGCTTATCACATGATCTCTGACACAAAGAAAAAGGACTTCTATGACAGAGAGAACAGGCCCTTAACAATGGTAGAGCAGGTAGTAGGTTTGGCTCCCTTTTGGACAACTTTGATGTTTTGAGGGGGAAGAATAGTGCAGTTAGAAAGGAATGGTAAAGATGTTATGCATCAACTGTCAGCAACTTTAGGAGATTTATATGATCATAAACAAGAAAAGTAGCTCTGCAAAAGAATTTGTGATTTTTGACAAATGTGAAGACTGAAAGAAGAAGCAGTAAAATGCTGTCTCAACTAGCAAGGTACTAGAATGCAATTGAGAATTCTTCAAATGGAACCTGGAAGGATGTAGCAAACTCAGTTTTTGTGCATGGAATGCCAGGGTCCAGGGGGAGTAGATCAATCCTAAAGATAGATGTAAAAGCCATAATGTATGGAAGATAGTTCAAGAGGCAAGATTCTAGGAGTTCATATTGACAAGTTATGGCCAGAAGACAACATTCCCTGGTAAAGGAGACCAAGAACCAGGACTAGAGCCAGGAGAGATTATCATTGTTTTAGATCAGAAGGACCATGCTGGTTTATCATGGGAGGAGACATGACGCTGGTTGAAGCATTGTGACTTCTTGACAACCAAACCATGAGAATCATCTCTATTCCAGGTCAGATTGTCAAACATGGAGAATTTATGTGTGTGCTTAAGGAAGATATGCCCATTATCATAGACCACAAGAGAAGGGTCACCTAATCATTGAAGTTAAGTTAAATTTTCCTGAAAATGACTTCCACTCTCCTGAAAAACTCATTACCAGAAAAACTACCTAAAAAGAAGGCTGTAGAAGAGACTGATGAAATGCAGGAGGTAGAACTGGTGGACTTTAATCCAACTCAGGAAGGAGACACTGTTACAATGGAGAAGCCCATGAGGATGATGAACATCATCCTGAATTGGGCTGGGGCCTGGGAGCCGGACCCCAAAAGTTAGGAAAGTATTGAATATTGTCTCAGCAAGGAAAGTATTGAATATTGAGACCAGAGTTAGGCAGAAAAGTAAGAAAGTTATTGACAGATAAAGAGAAGGACAGAAAAGCTTTTTGAGCGGAGAGGGGTCCCGTGCATGTAGCCGCTGGGGGCCAACAAGCAAGGGCTTATTTTTTGTTGTTTGTTTGAAATGGGGCGGTGTAGTGCTCTGCTTTGTGTCTCTTTCAGATAGGCAGAACTGTAAAGCAGGTTTTCTCTGATTGGTTTCTGCCATAGTCATTAATTGGGGCCAGGGTCTTCTTGACAGTCAAGTGGTGCTAATCTTGGTCAACACAAATGTTTTCTTGGGGGGTGGGCAGGCCAGCCTGTGGAAATTCCTGTTTTCCAGGGTGTTATCCAGGCTGTGGTCTCCAGTGGCCCTAACTGCCTAAATTCCCAACTTCCCCTTCATTTCTAGGGGTGTTTGGTGTGAGTGTCAGACTTCTTCTGGGTTTCACTACTTGCAGTTTTTGTTGTAATGTTCAAGTATAGTAGTGTTTTAATGGTAAACGAAGAATAAACTCAAATATAAAAGCTAAGAACAAAATGCATTCACCTTAAATGCCTACTACATACTTCTCCTAAGCCTACATTTTAGCTTTCTTTTATATGTATAAAAAGACTTTAAATGCAGAAAAATGGCTATTTATAGGATCTCCACTTCACAAGTTATAATGTTTTTGAAATTTTATTTTATTTTTCCCCCACCATTCCTTGTATACCCTTATGCCTTTCCTCTCCCCTTCTTCTTAACCTCAGAATCCTCAGGATGTTTATTGATGTCCACTGGCTTATGAAAGTGTTTTACATTTTCAATTGTCTGCTATATAAATGTCCAGCATTCTTATTGTTACTCTGTTACATATAATTATCTCAAACTCCTTCCATTTTGTTGAATATGACTGCATTTCA